AAGAAACAAAGGAAGAGGAGGAGGAAGCAAAGGAGGAGGAAGAAGAAACAAAGGAGGAGGAGGAAGAAACAAAGGAAGAGGAGGAGGAAGCAAAGGAGGAGGAAGAAGAAACAAAAGAGGAGGAGGAAGAAACAAAAGAGGAGGAGGAGGAAGCAAAGGAGGAGGAAGAAGAAACAAAGGAGGAGGAGGAAGAAACAAAGGAGGAGGAGGAAGCAAAGGAGGAGGAAGAAGAAACAAAAGAGGAGGAGGAAGAAACAAAAGAGGAGGAGGAAGCGGAGGAGGAAGAAGAAGAAACAAAAGAGGAGGAGGTGGAAGAAGATAAAGAAAAAGCAAATGATGAGGAGGAAGAAGCAGAAGAGGAAAAAGAGGAAGCAAATGAGGAGGAAGAAACAAAGGAAGAGGAGGAGGAGGAGGGGGAAGGAAACAGGGAAGAGGGAGAACAAGAGGAAGAAACACAACCTGAAGAGCAGGAACCCGAAAAGTCTAAAGCTGAAGATGAAGCTGAAGAAGAAGCTGAGGAACCAGAAAGTAGGGTTGATGGGGCTGCTGATGAACAGGAGACATCTGAACATGGAGGGCCTGCTGATGACTCTGGGGCAGATAACAATCCTGAAGGAGATGCAGCTGAAGGAAATGAAGAAACTGAGCAGGAAACCCAAGATGGTGCTGAGAGGCTGGAAGAAGCAAACCCAGAGTCAGAAAGTGAGGCATGTTCAGTCAAGGAGGAAGACGACAATGAAGGAGGCGACAAATGTGAGCAGAATGATGTGGAATTGACCAGTAATGGCCATGACCAGGCAAATGAGGAACACAAAGATGAAGACAACAGCAAATCTTCTCTGAGAGCTTCCAATGTCAGAAGAAACAGTAATGTCAAAAAAGCAGAGACTTTGACCAAAGCAGCCGCCTATTCTTGTTATTCTTCTATGGGTAATTTCTCACAGCAATCCCAAAAAGGGTCTGATGATGAAGAAGAAGAAGAAGAGGAAGAGGAAGACAAAGACAACAATAACCCCACAAGTGACGTCCCCAATGGAGAGATTCAGAGTGATGAGAGCAGCAAGCCTTCAAAGATGTATCCTGACAGTGAGGAGGAAGAAGAGGACAAAGCATCTTCCTGCACTGATCCTGTGGGAGAGGAGGACCAGCAGGATGCTGAAGGTGCAGATCCAAAGAAGGATGGCAATACTGATGAGGTTGTGGCTTCTAAAAAGAAAGAAGACTCTGATGAGATAGACCAGGATGACCTGGACTTCTAGAACTGTTTATCAAAAACTGTTTTCTTTTTCTTTCTTTTCTTTTTTTTTTTTAAAGTGTATTTTCTTTACGTATTACAGTAACTCCAGTGAGTCAAGCCATCATAATTGGCTTTTCTTCTGGGTTAAATGTGTTAAATTTGATCTTGAATCCTGTGAGTAAAATTGCTTATCTGCCCTTATTTCTAGAGGGCTGGCATTAAGTTTTAGTGGTTTCAGTAGAACAATGGTTTGGGAAAAGAGATTTTGTTTGTTTGTGATACCTTCTTCTTCCTCCCTCTTTTTCATGTCGTTTGCTGCTTGAGTGACCTGAGGCTCTGCTGGGCATCATCTCTGATTAACTTCAGGATGCCTTTTGTCTGTTGCATGCCATTTTTTTTTTCTGGAAAGACTGCCAATTACAGAACTGTGACAAAATCTGGATTCATTGCCAAAGTCTGGTCAGAGCCCACAGAGATGTACCCTCATTTTTTTCTCCTACCATCCTTTCTTTTCTTTTTTTTTCTTTCCCATTCCTCTCTGTACCCAGAGAAAGGGTCAGAGAAAGGGTCTGAGATACTGAAGTCTTGAATGCTCCTGCTTTCCTTGCTTGTATTTAGTAGAAGTTGAGATCATTCCTGTCTCCACTGGAAATCCGAAAGGGTCATCCCAGTAGCTTCCTCCTTCTCCTGTCCACCAAGGCATTTATACCATGCTCATCACTATAGTATCTAGTGATGTGGTGGTAGATAAGATGGATGAGTAAATTCACCTGTCAGGTATTGATGAGAAATGGGTAAATGCTGCATTGACCAAATTAGAAGTGGGCAAAGCCCACTTCCTTGTAAGTATATTTGAATATGCCAATGATGATGTCTAAGCACTTTACACTCAAACATTGTAGTACCAGGCCCTGTTCTGAAGCTATTCAGAGTTGCAGTTTCTCAGTGCCTCACCCTTGCAGACAACCAGCTATATATAACTAAGCTTACTTTTATCATGGAAAAAGATTGAACGTTTGTGCTGCAGCAATCAACTGGAAGACACTCAAGCATGCACAGGAGAGGCTGGACTTTGCAAATAGCAGTAGAATTGAGGTCTTGATTTAACTGCTTCTGTCTATTGTGCTGTTGTTATATTTTTGTTGTTGTCGTTGTCCTGGGGCAATGTACCAGAAGTTAAATTTATAAATAAATGCCCAAGGAACGTCAGAAAAAGTCTGACCATACCTCAAGTGCAAGCATATGGTTTCACCTCTTTGGGAAGCAGTCCCTTTCATCAACACTTCATCAACACAGGGGAAAAAAAAAAAAAGCAAAAATCTGAGAGAAGGTGAAAGCAAAATGTATGGTGAAAAAATGTGTGTCTATTATTTTAGGTTTGTGAAGGTTTATGCAAACACAGAGAAATAATTAATATTCAAATCAAATAATTAATACTGATGCCATTTCAGGATCAATCTCATAAACAATGAATTATTTTCCAGAGATAAGATTCATCTTACCAAAATTAAGAGCTAGGATTCGGCTCCAGATCAGGATATGTAACTTGAGGTATCTATGACATAGCTGTCCATGTTTTGTAGTCAATGGAGAGTTAGGTCTTGGCTCAGTTCCCTTCAATATAGGCTTACAGTGCAATCTGATGTCCCCCTTAGTGTTCAAGATAGCCATACAGTCCTTAAGGCACAGAAATTAATAAAGAACTGGGCCTTCCTAGAGGAACAGTGGAAGGGCACTCCCATCTGTAAGCTTCATCTAGTTGGCCTGGTTTCCTAGGACATTTCAGACGAATGGGTACAGCTCAGCTGAAACTTGACTGTCTTAAAGGTTGATATCTATCTTGTCTATCTAACCTCTATCTAAAGGTTGATATCTATCTTGTCATATCTATCTTGTCAGACCTGGGATTATGAATAGCTTTCGGGCAGCTTGGGTTCAATTCAACTCCATCCATAAAACTATGTGAGGTGAATCCTATCATATTCCAATATTCCAGTATTATACTATCTGTCTGAGTCCACACATTTGGAATACATGCATGCCCTGGTCTACATGGAGGTACACCACACCTGCTCCCATAGCTTCTGTACCATTAAAGCACCATTTAAGGTGCTATTTGAAGGCATAAACAGGAATTAAGTGGTGCAGGAACCTAGTTTCATACAGAACATGAAATCCCGTGATAGGTTTTGCACAGCAGTGTATTTTGCCCATATTAATTGGATTTGAATGCAAAACCTCCAACTTAGGGCCTTCTGTAACAATCAGAAAGAAGTTGTTGCTGGTTCCAACAATGCCCTTAAATACTCACCATTGACAACAGATTTGAAAGTCCTACTGAAACCTCATTGTCCGGAGTCATGGTTAAATATAACACCCACATAGGATCAATTGTCCCTCTGGCTTTTACTGTCTCAATCAGAGCAGAACAGCAGAGAGGACTGCTCTAGGGCAACATTTTCCTTCTGTAGCAACATCCTATGCCAATATTCTGACTCTGTATTAAATTTTTCCAAAGTTTCCACAAATACAACCACATCTTTTATATCAATAACATTATTAAGGCATGCACAATGAGAAAGATTAAAAATACTTTTACATCCACTGACATATAATTAAGGAAAAGGTGCCAAGGAGAAGGCTACAATGAACTGGGCTCATACCACTAACTCTGGGGACACGCTCCAGTTTACTTTTTGTTCTGTGTTCTCCAGTCAAAGAAAGGAAACTGGGTCTCCCAGAGCTCATTCGGAGTGTCCACTGTCATCTGGAAGGGTGAAGTCAATGGACTATAGCACCCTAACCCCAGCACTTGAAGCAACAACTTGAATTGAAGCTGTGACTCTCCCTACATCTTGGAAGACAGCCAGGTGCTAGCTTATCTCCAACCCCTGTCCAGGGATGCTGGATGGATGTTGCAGCACATTTGGTCACTGATAATGGGGTAGAGAGGTATTTCAGAAGCCACGAAAGATGCATTTTGTACCATGCATTATTCAGAACTTGTCAGCGCCTACAAGGAGGGGAACTGTTCCCTCAGCACAGCTGCTTGGTGGCCCTACAGCACATGCCTCTCCGCATCAGTAGGTGCAGGCTGCTATGGAGATGCGTATGGAAACATCTAGGTTTCATAGGGAATACGGTGGAATGTCTGCGTGCTGATGCATCAATTCTTGGTTCAGAAAACACGAAGCCTGGCAGCAGAAGGAATGTCTGAGCTTGGCATGAGAGCCAACCTGGAAGTGGTATGTATTTGCTTAAGTTTAAATGTTTCTAGTGAAAGTATCTCCCTCTGAGCTCATCATCCTAATTCCCATTATAACCAGCAGGGAGAAGGAGGCTGAGAAGAGCATGATTCATCTACCACAGACATCTACATTAGGAGGAGATGAACTACACTCTCAGCAGGCCTTTTCTCTCTGCTGATTACAAAGACAGTCTAGATAGGCTGCTCAGATGGAGATGTCTAGTGTGGGAAGAGCTGATCCCAGCTGAGCTGTCCAAAAGCATCTTGCAAGTTTTGCAGTGGGCCTACACTGGTAGGCTCTGCCAGGCAGCAGCTCAAGCTATTCATCCCACAATGAATTTTAAAGTTGTGCATTGGCTCCAAGATCATACTTTTCTATGAAGGGTTTTTATCTGCTAAAAGCCACCTCTGAAACTGAGTGGGTGCATGAGAAAGGCAGAACATTTCCCAGGATCTCTCCTCCAGCTTGTTCACTTTCTTGATTTTAAAGCAGAGTATGCTTAATCAACTTTACACCATGTTCAGTTAAGAAATTCCCTCTTGTGCGTATCTCAGGCAGCACCAGCAAGAAGAAAGAAAATAAACAAAATGCAAAAACACAATCATCAGATCTTATAAAAGGAGGGGACAAGGAGATTCAGGATCCTGGACCAAACTCAATGTGTTTGCTTTAAAAAAATCGAAGAAAAAAAGGAATGAAAGAAAATTGAAATCGCCAGAGCTCTTTCCCATGAGAACTGTCATGCTCATGTCTGTGTTCTGCACCGTCAGTGTTTGAGCAATGACTCATGCACGTGTGTCCTCTGCTCATGAATGGCAGAGGTGCTGGGCAGCAGTCACAGTGCCCTTCTTAGGGACATGTTGCCAAAGTAGGAGTTTCTTCCCTCCAACAGACTTCCCCAGGATCACCCAGAGCTTCGAGAAATGAAGCAGGTTGTTCGTGGTTATGTCTCTCCCATTTGCACCGCTTCCAAAGTTTACATTTCCCCACGGTTGGTGTGACTCACTTGCGTGTTCAGTCTTGCAGCTTCCCCCTCTTAAGGCAAAAGAACATGTTAACAACCCTCTCAAAAGCCACATTTATACCAGCTGGAAAGACACTGCTTGTCACCACCTGAAGGGGATTACAGCTGCTGTCTTTCAGCAGAGTTGAGGAGGAGGAGTAGAGGCAATGCGAGACTTGCACAGCTGTACAGCACGTTCTGCTGTGCATCTCTAACTTTCTATTTTCCTTTGGTCAGCAAGACAAATTGCTTCTTGATGTATGTTGGTTTTGTTTGTTTGCTAGTTTTTCTAAACAGGAAATATTCAGTGAAAGATAATGAAGAGCATGATGAACCACTGAAATAAATCTGCTCTGTAAAGCTGAGAGGTTTCTGCAGATGTGTGTTGGCAGAAGTTGTTCTAAGGGAAAGCAATTATCCCTTTTCCTGGTGGGTCTCACCCAGCACCATATTTATCTCCAGCCACTTGAAATCCCAGCTGTCTTGCAGGAAGGTGTTTGAGGTTTGAGTTATTATTTCTGTATCTCAGGCTCCTCCAGGAGGTTTTGTTCTGCAGGGCAAGGAGAGTTTCCAAGCTCAGTTCCTAGGTGCCCTGCAAGCAGACTTGATGATCTTGATTCTTTGATTCCCCAGAAAGGCAACTCTGTACTCTTGTGATCTTGAAGGTCTTTTCCCACCATAACGATTCTGATTCCCCAGAAAGGCAACTCTGCACTCTTCCACCATGAGACAGATCTGGGAGTAACCTCTCCAGTTCCATTACTTAAAAGA